TAATCCAGTTCAGGTGTTATCTCGTCCCATCAAACGTGTTTTGGCGGATTGGCGTCGGCTATGATGATTATTGCCGACGATGGAACGACTCCTCTTACAAAATGTTCACCTGTGCCGAAGTATCGTTTTTGAAGCGGGAAGCTCAAAAAACCGCAAATTTCTTACGCAGTTTGTGAAGTTATGAGTGCATTTCAGAGTTTGCCGATGCGCTCATCGTGATTTTTGAGGCATTATCTATAAGAAACAACTCTTAGTTTTGCTCTAGCAAAAGTTTGCAACAGGCCCATTGTATGGCGCCAACTTTGGTACGAAATTAATTCCTTCGAGAAACGACATTTGGCAGCTTCTTTGAGGTAAAATATACTCTTTTTTAACTAACAACTAATGCCTAGACGCAGCCCACATGCCAGGTGGGACATGGCATAACATCATAAAATGTTCATTAACATATTTGCCAGACGTTAATGTACTATAAGTTGCTGTTACACCTAGGAGGTCATATGCGTGTGACGTGTGACATTGCAGATAGTCTGGCGCATTTCATTTTTTCGAAAGACGAATGGTCATTGTTTTTGTTCCACATTCTGTGCGATTCATCAGGGTCGTTCTTTGAAAATTTTGCACTTCGACGTCAAAGTTAGCTTTCCCAAAGGGGGGAAAACAAAAAAAAAATCGAAACGAAGAACGACTCACTAAGTGGTTAAAGAAAACTCTACATATCATGTTGAAGTCTCTAATATTTTTTGCGATCTTGAGGGCCAACAACATTTTAATACATTTAAATAATACATTTCTCGGAAAATTGACAATGTCGCGATGAAAATCAGTAATAGTTAACTTTAGGCATACGCTGGAATTTAAGTCAAGGTGTCAGAGAAATAATCCAAGCTTAAGTCAGTGCCGCATGCAAAGGATACTAAGTGAATTTCATTATAACGCTTAGATGCATCCGTTAATCCAGGATTGCGCGAAATGCCTAAGAAAATGTATGGGGATTACCCGAAAAAGGCACAAGGATTGCGCGAATAGAAACCTCAACATCTGCTACAGGAATGCGCGAATTTAAAATTAAGTTAATTTAAGGTAGAAGTCTGGCAAAACAGGAAAAAGTTGGAAAATAATCGTATTTTTATGTTAACGCTAGTTTCGATTAGTTTGTTGACAAGTCATCGATGTTTTACCTTCTAATGATAAATGAAGTGAAAAGATTGAATAATGGTCGTGGGTGTATATAGAACATTCCTAAATTTTCTCGGGAAAAATATTTAATCGGGAGAAACGAGGCAACGTTGGAATGCTCATACGGTGTCGAAACACAACATAGGCCTTTTAAGCTCTATTATTCGATGCCGCGATTATTGTAACGCAAGTTCGAATAATCGCGCCAAACACAGTGCGGGTGGCCGGCGTTACACGTATAACAGCGCCTGCAAGACTTTAAGAATACTTCACGCATTGCGCCAAACAGTACGGCCCATATTAGCGCCTTCAAGACTGCATGGATACCTCTCGCATTGCGCCAAATGTACTGCAGTCGATCAGTTGACGTGAAACGCATATTAGCGCCTAAAAGACTATAGGAAGACTGTAGGACTGCGTGTCATCATTCTTTACTTTCTGCTCCAGTTTTCTTCATAATGAAAGGGAAAATATGTATCCTTATTGAAACGATTCAGAAATTTGAATAGTAATTTTTTTTTTTTTTTTTTTTTTTTTTTAAAGGAGGATAGATATTTAGATCTCGCTGGTGTCTAGTTCCCTTTCCGAATATATATTACATTTTGATCTATTATTTGACAATAGGTTATTCGATAAGTGAAT